AAGAATCCGCCTGCCAATGCAGGGGACACAGGTTCAAGCCCTGGTCCAGGAAGATCCCACATGCCGCGAAGCAACTAAGCCCGTGCACCACAACTACTGAACCTACGCTCTAGAGCCTGTGAGCCACAACGACTGAGCCCAAGTGCCGCAACTACTGAAGCCTGCGTGCCTAGAGCCCGTACTCTGCAACAAGAGAAGCCACCGCAATGAGAAGCCCGCGCACCACAACGAAGAGTAGTCCCCACTCACCGCAACTAGAGAAAGCCCACGCGCAGCAACGAAAACCCAACACAATTAAAAAAAAAAAAAACAGCAGCTCCCTGTGGACCAGGCACCGAGCTCAGGATTTTACATGCATTATCTCAGTTAATCTTACAATGACCCATTTTACAGAGAGCAAAACTGAAGCCGAGAGGTTTCATTATTGCCTGGGGTGGGAGTGGGGGTCTCACAGAGCTAAGGTAATGAAACTAGAAGTTTGAATTCAGGTCTAAAACCCTTGCTCTGAAACACTCTGTCTGGAGGACCAACCTCTTGGTCACTGGGCATTTGGGGAAAAGCTCTTCGCCACCCTCACTTATCCAGCCTCCATAACGCTTGATGGAAACCACAGATTCATTGTCTTTCCCACCTTGGGAGCTCTGTGAGGACGTGTCTGCATCTTGTTTTTCACTGTAGACGCAACACCTGCCATCTGGGCAGACAGCAGGCACCCAAAAAAGGACTGCTGTGATGGGGTTTGGGTAGAAAATCCAGGAAGGGTGAATTCCCATAACTGTTGCAATTCTTCAGCCCACTAATTTGTTTTAGAATTGTTTTAATTTTCAATAAGTGTTTCCCAATTATAGACTGATATGTGCTCAATACAGATCAGAAAATAATTTTAAAAAATCTAAATATACATAATTACACCACTAGGAAAAAACCCTTTTTTTAATACAGCAGGTTCTTATTAGTCATCAATTTTATACACATCAGTGTATACATGTCAATCCCAATCTCCCAATTCATCACACCACCACCACCCCCCCACCCCCCAGCGGCTTTCCCCCTTTGGTGTCCATACGTTTGTTCTCTACATCTGTGTCTCAATTTCTGCCCTGCAAACCGGTTCATCTGTACCATTTTTCTAGGTTCCACATATATGCATTAATATACGTGTTTTTCTCTTTCTGATTTACTTCACTCTGTATGAGTCTCTAGATCCATCCATGTCTCAAAAAATGACCCAATTTCGTTCCTTTTTATGGCTGAGTAATATTCCATTGTATGTATGTACCACATCTTCTTTATCCATTCATCTGTCGATGGGCATTTAGGTTGCTTCCATGACCTGGCTATTGTAAATAGTGCTGTAATGAACATTGGGGTGCATGTGTCTTTTTGAATTATGGTTTTCTCTGGGTACATGCCCAGTAATGGGATTGCTGGATCATATGGTAATTCTATTTCTAGTTTTTTAAGGAACCTCTGTACTGTTCTCCATAGTGGCTGTATCAATTTACATTCCCACCAACAGTGCAAGAGGGTTCCCTTTTCTCCACACCCTCTCCAGCATTTGTTGTTTGTAGATTTTCTGATGATGCCCGTTGTAACTGGTGTGAGGTGATACCTCATTGTAGTTTTGATTTGCATTTCTCTAATAATTAGTGATGTTGACCAGCTTTTCATGTGCTTCTTGGCCATCTGTATGTCTTCTTTGGAGAAATGTCTGCTTAGGTCTTCTGCCCATTTTTGGATTTTTTTCTGCCCATTTTTGACCTTTCTCTCATCTTGTCTGCCTACTATACACACACACACACACATATATAATATATTATGTATAACATATATATATTATGTATATATATAAAATGTAGGCAGGCAAGATCATTACATATATGATATAATGTACCCATATAAAATGTGTGTATTGATGTATATATATCCCTGTCCATCTCGCTCCCATTTCCCCCTGTTAAACAGGCTGAATAATCTCCACTTATAGGGCTCCAAGGAGGTCCTTGGGGAATTTTTGCTAGCACAGTGCCAGGCACACACTGACTGACTTTTTCTACATGAAAGTAAAAAGATGGCAGTATTTCAGGGAACTAGGGGGGCTGGACCTGTCTTGTGTTTTACCACAGGAGCCTCCAGCCCTACCTGTTACTCTGCAGTGCTGACTGCAGGGTCACCAACAGCCTCCTGGTTACAGCAGGATCCTCAGGAGCCCTCACTCCGGGAAAGACACTGTTTCCAAAGGACCCACGTGTCCGATCCCTGTGGCCTTTGCAATTCTCACTGTAGACAAACGTCTTGACCTCCTGTTTGTCTATAGTCTCCCTTGCGTTGGATTGATGTGGGTCAGTCCTCCGGAGATAGAACACTTCTGGGGCGTGGATTTACTGTCATTTCTCTCAGCTCCAGGAGCATCCCCAGCTGTGGAGCTGCAGTAGATTACATTTCTGTTTAAACCATTCACTGTCCATCCTGGGGGAGGGTTATACTACATCTCTGCCCTATTGAATTCAGGAGTGGCCATAAGATTTGATTTGGTCAATAAAACGTGGGTGTCAATGGCCGTGTCACTTCTAAGCAGATGTTTTCAGCTAGCTTGTGGTCTGCTATCTTTTTCTTTTCTCTCTACCATGAATCCAGCAATGTCCCTGAGAGGGGCTGTTCCTTCAGCCTGGAGTGACAATAATACAGAGTAGGGACAAGCTGACCTATGATGACATGTAACATGAGTGAGAAATAATTATTTGTCAGAGAAAAAACCACCTGTCTCTGAGATCTTGAGATCATTTGTCACTATAGCATAATCTAGCCCATCCTGCATCTCTGTTACAGTGGCCTTGGGCATGTTACTTGACTTCTTTGAGCTTGAGTAGCCTCATCTGTAAAATTGGGATAATTGTGCTTACTTCACTTACAGGGTTTTTTGGGGGGATTTTCATAAACAATGGATTAAAAGCGCTTAGCCTAGTTCCTGGATCTCACTAGCTGCCTGTGAAATGCTGGGTGAATCTCAACCTGTTTGGCAGTTGGAGAGAGGCCAGACACAGACGACTGACAAAGGGAGGCCTTCCATTAAAAAGCCAGATAAACACCGATGTCCACAGTAGCACTATTCACAATCTCCAAAAGGTGAAAACAAGCCAAATGTCCATCAGTGGATGAATGGATAAACAAAATGTGGTGTAGACATACAATGGAATATTATCTGGCCCGAAAAAAGAAGGACATTCTGACACATGCCGCAACATGGATGAACCTTGAAGACATTATTCTAAGTGAAGTAAGCCAGACACAAAAGGACAAATAATATAGGATTCTCCTCATATGAGGTGCCTCGAGTAGTCAAATTCATAGAGACGGAAAGTAAAGTGGAGGTTGCCAAGGGTTAGTTGGAGTGGGGATGGGCAGATTTAATGGGTATAGAGTTTGAGTTTGGGAAGATGGAAGTTCTGGAGATGGAAGGTGGTGGTGATCGCTGCACACAGTGTGAATGTACTGAATGCCACTTACCTGTACGCTTAAAAATGGTTAAAACGATAAACTCTATGTTGTGTATATTTTATCACAATTTTATTTATTTTTAAAAATTGGATCATTTGTCTTTTTATTATTGAGTTGTAGAGTTCCTTATATATTCTACTACAAGTCCCTTATCAGATATATGATTTGCAAATACCTTCTCCCATTCTGTGTACTATCTTTTCTACCTGAACTCTTTTTTTCAGTCAATATTTTTTTATTTGAAGTATAGTTGATTTACAATGTTGCGTTAATTTCTGCTGTATCGCAGAGTGATTCAGTTACACATATATATACATTCTTTTTAAAATATTCTTTTCCATTGTGGTTTATCACAGGATATTGAATATAGTTCCCTGTGCTATACAGTAGGACCTTGTTGTTTATTCATTCTATAAATAAAAGCTTACATCTGCTAACCCCAACTTCCTACTCCATCCCTCCCCCACACCCCTCCCCCTTGGCAACCACCAGTCTGTTCTCTATGTCTCTGATTCTGTTTCATATTTTAGATTCCACATATAAGTATTTTACTACAATTTTTAAAAGCTGGATGAAGCTTCCTTTTCCTTTAAAATAAACCGCCCTTCAGGCGTCCCTGGTGGCGCAGTGGTTGAGAGTCCGCCTGCCGATGCAGGGGACACGGGTTCGTGCCCTGGTATGGGAAGATTCCACATGGCGCGGAGCGGCTGGGCCCGTGAGCCATGGCCGCTGAACCTGCGCATCCGGAGCCTGTGCTCCGCAATGGGAGAGGACACAACAGTGAGAGGCCCGCGTACTGCAAAAAATAAACAAACAAAAAAAACCCTTCATTCCTTTTTTTACTCTGCTTTATGTTGGGCCGACCTCATTTGGAGTCCTTTCTTGTTCTAGACCACAAATTTTTATCTTTTCCTTTATTATTCTTTTTATTACACACATCACACATGGTCATTATTAAAACAATTAAAATGCAGATAAGCAGAAAGAAAAGAAATGTACCCGTGTACATTACCCTGCAGTAATAACCACTGTTTATGGTTTGGTATATCTCATTCCAAACATTTTTCTAAGCACTTATACATATAATTATACATACATCTATATACCTTTATACAAACTTCATTTAAACATAAAATCAGGTCATATTATATATACTGATATAAAATCCTGTTTTTTTCCCTACAAAATAATAAATAACATGAACAGTTTTCCACATTAACAAGTATAGATCTGCATTGTAATTTTAAAGGGCCTCACAGACACCACCTGTATATATGGAAGTAACATCTTTATTTAACCAACTCCCCATTGATCGACATTTAGGTTGTTTCCATTTTTTGGTTGTTGTTGTTATTATAAGCAAACTTGTGGCAAATATAATAATAATGGTACAACTTTTTTCCTATGTACCAGGTTCTATGCTAAACTCTTCACAAGCATTATTTAATTTAATCCTCACAAGAATGCTATAAAGTAATACAGTTATAATCTCTGTTTTATAGGTGAGGAAACTGCAATTCACAAAGGTTATTTGTCAACATCATCCAGCAAGTGACTGACAACACTGGGATTTGAATGGAGCTCTGCCTGGTACTACAGCCCATCCTCTCTCCTTTAAATTGCGCTGTGTCCCAACTCCTGAAATAGGGCTCCTTAAATTCCCTTTCCTGCAGCCACAGAGTGGGAGGGATTTGTGGGCAAGGGGCCTGGAAGGTCCCTCATATAACCCTTTTGAAACCTAAATACCAAGTCTTCCCTGGGGAATGTCCAGGAGGTCTGAGATCTGGGTCATCTCTGTAAGGGAGTAGGCCCAGCACTATCTGATGTCACGTGCTCTCGACCTGCAGGTTTGCCTGTTGTCGGCTCAGCCCCAAGAGAAGCACACTGGGCCCACAAAGCTTTCTTTCCAGCTGAGGCTTAGAGGTTGCCAATCCAACCTGGAGTCTTGTGCTTCTTTGCCAAACAACGCAGGTGCTCCGTGGGTCCAGGCCCACGGCTTCGTTGAGTACACATCCCTGGGAGCAGCAGCCACTAAGAGGTGATTCTTTGTCCACTACACAGTTGGGGAACTGCTCGTCTCAGTACAGAACCTGCTTCGCCCTGCTTATACCTTTTAAAAAGCATGTTGTTAGGTTCATACAAATTTAGAATTGTTATACCTTCCTGGTAAATTATCATTATGAAATGACTACCCCTCTCCATTATGAGATGTTTTGGGCTTTAAAGTCTATTTTATTCTGTAATGAATCTAGCCATGTCAGCTTTCTTTTGTTTAGTATTTGTACATGCTTTTTCTACCTTTCCACTGTCAACCTTTTTTGTATATTTATTCTTTAGGTATATTTCTTATAGACAATATATAGTTGGATTTTTATTATCTACTCTGGCAATCTTTGCCTTTCAAATGAAATATTTATTTTTTAAACCTCAAGATAATCTTACCATTATTTACAGTCAATATTCATTTAGACGTTTTACTTGGGATCATTTTTTGTCTGCCTGTAACAAAACATTTAGAATGTCTTTAGTGTATTTGATCTTCTAGTGGCAAACTGTTTCAGTTTTGTTTGTCTGAAAATGTCACCTTTATGGTTGATTTTCTCCTCAATGCCTAACATGTTGGAAGAAAACAAATGTCAATTCAGAATTCTACACCCAGCAAAAATATCCTTCAGGAATGAAGACAAAATAAAGACATATCATCATTCCACTGAACTCTTAGTTCTTTCCACCTGCTCTTCCCTACCAATCCCAAGAATTTGGGCAGAGACCACAAAGATATTGAGCTTCTCTAAGACTCATCTTCTTTTTACTTCATCTCATATCTTGATTTCCCGTTAAGTCCTGTAAACTGTATTGCAATCTAACCACTTCTTACTTCCTCCACTTCTACTTCCTTAGCTTAAACTACTGTCATCTCTCACCCAAACTGTAGCAATAGCTTCCTAATTGGTCTCTCTGCTTCCTCTCTTACCACCCACATGATGTTGACACAACATCCTTTTATAATGCAAAGGAGATATCGTTATCTTCTGCTCAGAACCCTCCGATGTCTTCCCATCACATTTAGCATCAAATGCAAACTCTGTGCATAGTGTCCATGATGTAGCTTCTCCCTACCTCTCTCACTTCATTTCCTACCACACTCCTCCTTGTTCACTGAGCTCCAGCCGCACTGGACTCCTGCTGTTCCTCACTCATGCCCAGTTTGCTTCTATCTCAGGATCCTCCCAGGTGCTCCTGCTTCTGCCTGGAGTGTTCCCCCCAGAGGGAGCCCGCCTCCCTCCCTCACTTCATTCCCACCTCTGCTCAAATGTTAACTCATCAGCGAGGGTTTCCCTGAACTCCCTAAAATAAAATTCTCTCATTCTCTATCCTCTACTCTGCTTTAATTTTCTTCCTAACAATGATAACTTCCTGACCTTATGTCATATGCACTAGAGTATAAACTCAAGGAGGACAATAACTTTATTTTATTCATTGTATTCGTCCCTCGTGTCTCAAATAGTCCCTGGCAGGGAGGAGGTTTTCAATAAATATCTGCTGAATAAATGGATCTGCACAGTTGTCTATGTTATAATGAGAATGCATATTAAAATATTTTAATGCAAATATAGCCCAAGTATCTAACCTCATCAGCTTGTTACTACAAAGTTGGGTTTAATTGCCTGATTGCCTTTTCATATTCAACCTGTAATGACTTCAGTCCCGTTCATGGGATGGCAAATCCTCAGTCTTTCCTCAAAGGTCCCCGCAGTTATTTCTGGGGGTCCCCGCAGAAGGGCTCACAGGAGTGATGTACTAGAGTTGGCATGTATAGCCTCCCAAGAGTTGATTGTTAAATATTTAGGAATTCTGTAAGTTGATTGTCATACCGTAGCTTGAAATTGGTCAGAGTGGAAGTACTTACACACTGGCAATCAGAGAATGCTATAAATCATGGTGGTGTTTTAAATAAAAAAAAAATTGTAGAGCCAGTTTACCAGTACGAGGTTCTACAAACTAATTAGTAAACTATTGTCTCCAAGTGGTATCAGCTGTCCTCCAGCTGAGGCCCTCCCCCCACCCGCCCCCATGGAAGGCTCTTGGAGAACCCTGCCTAGTGCCTCGGCCCATCCAGACAAGGCCAACGCACCTGCTAAGGCTATATCATATACTCTCAGGGAGCCAAGAGTCAAATTTAGGACTGCTTATCCAGTAGATACAGAAATGGAGGGGAGCTTTGAAGATACAGGGTTTCTCCAAAGCCTCCCTCAGTGTCTCCTCTCACCAGCTGACTTTGAAAGCTCTTAGACTTTGTGTTTTCTTTTAAGCAAAGCTCCATAGTGGTGGTGACAAGGCATGGCTTGATGACTTTATCTCCACCCCCCACGCACCCACCCCCTGCCCCCTTGGAAGACTCTGCTAGTTGTGTTTTCCAAACCCATTCCTCATTCTTCCTTACTGTAGCTGTGATGACAGAGCAGCAGAATGACAGAGCAGGAGACAGAAGAAGCCACCATAAGGTCACTGGAGACAAAATAAAATCCCTTGACTCACTTAAGCCACTGTTAGCTGGCTTACCTACCACCTGACCAATTCCTAACTGAAACACTTCTCTGTAATATCCATCACCTTCCCCAAGCCAGCTAAGTAAAAACATATTTTCCATGCAAGTACAAGAGCCCTAGGCATCCTCCCCACAACTTGATGACTGCCTCCAGGCCTCCATGTAGACTCTGGACCTGCCCTCGTGGTTCCATATATGTCCCTTCTGCCACGTGCTGCACTACCCCTCCCCACTGACCCACCCAAGCAGGAGGTACGCAGAAGATATTTCTCCTGAACCTGCTCCCTCCATAGGTCAAGGCCTTCACGTTGAGGAAATAGCAGAGTGTGGGCTTTTAGGCTTGTGTTTGAGCCCTGATACTTATAACTGTCCTGAGGAAAGTTATTCATTTTATTCTCAGTTTTCTCATCTGTGTAAGGAGGTCAATATTCCCAGCCTCCTAGGGTTGATTGCTGTAAGGATTAAATGAGAAAATGCCCAGAGTAAGTGCTCAGTGGGTATTAGCTCTTATAGACAGGGCTGTAATGAACTTTATGGTCCACACATATCACACCTAATAATTTCCTTAGGATAAATTCCTAGAAGAGGAATTTCTGGGTTACGGTTTCTGCTCATTTTGGATTTTGACCATACTGAAAATTGTTCTCCAAAAGGGTTTATACCAATCTGAGAATCTCCCATTTCTCCAGATCTTCATTAGTACAATGTATTATCATTTTCCTTACCTTTGCTGATTTTGTAAGGCAAAAAGAGCGTCTCACTTTTTTCTTATTAATTTTTAAGTTGGATGTATTTTTTTTTTGTGGTACGTGGGCCTCTCACTGTTGTGGCCTCTCTCATTGGGCAGCACAGGCTCCGGACGCGCAGGCTCAGCGGCCATGGCTCACGGGCCCAGCCGCTCCGCGGCATGTGGGATCTTCCCGGACTGGGGCACGAACCCGTGTCCCCTGCATCGGCAGGTGGACTCTCAACCACTGCGCCACCAGGGAAGCCCTGGATGTATTTTTAATGGCTCACAATGTTGATCACTTTCTCATGTTTGTTGGTCATTTGAATTTCTTTTGCAAATGTCCGGTTCTCACACTTTGCCTGCTTTTCTGTTGGGTCATAGGAGGTGAGGGAGATGGAGGGAGGAGCTGAAGTTGGTTTGGGTGATGCGGTGGCAGAGGAAATTACAATTAGTAGATGGACATGAGAGAAGTTTAAGTTTGAGTTTACATGGCGGTTTTGGTGATGGTCTGGATGTGGGTAGAGCAGGAGAGGAGAGAAGGCAGTTAACAATGACATCCAGGTTTCTGGTTTCAACTATTGGTTAGGTGGTGGTGGCTTTTTCTGCGATGGGGAAGATTGGGGGTGAAGATGATGTTTTTCCTTTTGGTCATTTGAGTTTGAGGTGCCCTGTGGAACATCAAAGGCTAGGAAACAGTTGGATTTGTAGGTCTGGAGCTGTGAAGACAGATGTGAGTGGGAGAGTCCTTGCTCTGCTCCTGGAGACCGTGAGGCAAGAGGACCTGCTAGAGAAACAGGAGACGTGCCAACACTGAAGAGATGGACAGAGAAAGATGACTGGGAAGGAGGGATGGGAAAATAAGTGGAAAACCAGGGGTATGAGGGGCCATGGAAACCAAGGGAAGAGGATGCTTCAAGAAGGAGAAGGTGGTGAACAGTGTCAAAGGAGTTGAATAAGACAAACTGAGACATGCCTGTTCAGCTTTCCAGACGAGCAAGAGCAGTTTAATGGCGTGACAGTGGCAGAAGTTGGGCTACAGTGGGTTGAGGGATGGAGGGTGAGGAAGCAGATGCCGAGTGCCAAGTGTCTGTGGGTTTGGACCCACTAAGGAAGCAAGAGTAAAAGTGCTGGCTAGAGTGGCCCTGCCTATTTCCCCGCACCTTCACCAATACTGGATTTGACCATTTTCTACTCTTCACTTACCTGATAAGGTAAAACTTCCTTCTCATTATTTTTATTTTCATTTATTTGATTGTCAGTGCAGTTGATTGGTTGTTTTCCTGAGAAAAGTCTCCTCTCCCCAGGTTGCTAGATTCAACAAATAAAAATACGGGATGCCCTGTTAAACATGAATTCCAGATAAACAAGAAATACTTTTTAAGTATGTCCCAAAGACTGTGTGGGGGCATACTTACCCTGTAATTTTGACTGGCAAAGTTCCCCCCACCCCAAGGTTATAAAAAATAATCACCTGCCCATGTTGCTAGCACATTATCATTTCATTTAGATTTTTTAAGCCATCTCACGTTTATTTTATGAGATAGTATTCTAACAACTTTTCCTCAAGTGGTTAGGAAATTGTTCCAGCACTACTTATTGAACAAACTCTCATTGATTTAGAAAACCATCTTTGTCATATCAATTTTTTCTTTCCTTTTTTTTTTTTTTTTTTTTGCCTGCGAGGCACGCAGGATCTTAGCTCCCCGACCAGGGATCAAACCCATGCCCCCTGCAGTGGAAGCGCAGAGTCCTAACCACTGGACCACCAGGGAAGTCCCTCATATCAAATTCTTTTACGCACTTTGGTCTCATCTTTCTATTCTGTTTCATTGTCATATGTCCGCTGTGTTGTACTAATCATTTAAAAAACTTTTCTTCTGTATTTCAGGATGCTTTGACATCCTGGGGTCTTACTAATCCTGAAGAGACTGCCCCTCCCAGGGCTAGCTAATTCCTAGAGATGGTAAACAAGTTGTCTCCAAGTATGCATACACAAGGCAGCCAATCCCAAACCCATAGCTATTGATCCAACCACCTTCTCTATCTCCCTCTCAAACACCAGGCCAACATTCCCCTGCCCTAAATCACCCCAGGGCAACACACAACTAGGGACCACTCTCAGAGCTGCTGAAATTACTCAAACTATTCAATCCTAAACCTGTTTAGCGGTTTACCCTGCCTCACCCATTTCTTCCTGTGAAAATCGCAGTAAACCTCTGGCTGGTGGTTTCCCCTTACTCCTTCCTCCTGACCTACACTGATTGTTTCCTTACCTGGCCCAGCATGGCAGGGCATGCCCGTTCCTCTTGGGAACTGTAAATAGCAAACTCTTCTTTCAAAGGCAGCTGTGTTTGCGTCTGTCACCTTACCATACCCAATTAATACAAAATCCCAGGCACGTTTTAAAACCTCTGTGCCAGTGCCATATTTTTTTTAATTTCTAAAACGTTGTAATATTTTAATGGATGGGCAAAAGTGTCTCTTATTTTTCAGACTTTTCCTGAATATTATTATTATTTAAAATTTATTTATTTATTTTTGGCTGCATTGGGTCTTCATTGCTGCGCACGGGCTTTCTTTAGTTGCGGTAAGCGGGGACTACTCTTCATTGCGGTGCATGGGCTTCTCATTGCGGTGGCTTCTCTTGTTGCGGAGCACGGGCTCCAGGCGCGCGGGCTTCAGTAGTTGTGGCGCGCGGGCTCAGTAGTTGTGGCTTGTGGGCTCTAGAGCGCAGGCTCAGTAGTTGTGGCTCACGGGCTTAGTTGCTCCGCAGCATGTGGGATCTTCCCGGACCAGGGCTCAAACCTGTGTCCCCTGCATTGGCGGGTGGATTCTTAACCAATGCGCCACCAGGGAAACCCCTGAATATTATTATAGCTTTATTCTTCAAATTACCTTTAGAACTATTCTGTTAAATTCTAAGATAAGGCATTTGGGGATTTTGAGTTGGATTGTGTGAATTTTTACATTAATTTGAGAAAAATAGGTGGATTTTAAACCTTGTGTTTCTATTTAAGACAAGGTAGACGTGTGCCACAACTACTGAAGCCTGTGCGCCTAGAGCCCGTGCTCCGCAACAAGAGAAGCCACCGCAATGAGAAGCCCGCGCACTGCAACGAAGAGTAGCCCCTGCTCGCCACAACTAGAGAAAGCCTGCACGCAACAACAGAGACCCAATGCAGCTAAAAAAAAAAAAAAAACGACAAGGTAGAGGTTTCCAAGTTCTCTTCCATGCCCCTCAATAGACTTTTTCCGCGGTAAAATTTATTTCTAGTTGTTTTCTGAAGGTTTATTTCTAGTTATTTTCTATCTTTACTGATATTATGAATGGAACTCTTCCCTATTATAATTTCTAACTGCTTTTTATTGTTTGATGGGAATGCTGTTGATTCTTGTATATTTGTTTTGTAATTGGCCATGTTGCTGGACTCAATAGTTTTTTAAAATTTATTTTATTGAAGTGTAGTTTTCTAAAAATTTTATTGACGTATAGTTGATTTACTATGTTGTTTTGTGTTAATTTCTGCTGTATAGCGAAGTGTTTCAGTTATACATATGTATATTCTTATTCATATTCTTTTCCATTATGGTTTATCACAGGATATTGAATATTGTTCCCCTCGCTATACAGTAGGACCTTGTTGCTTATCCATCCTATATATAATAGTTTGCATCTGCTAATCCCAAACTCCCAATCCTAACCCCCTTCTACCTTGGCAACCACAAGTCTGTTCTCTATATCTGTGAGTCTGCTTTTGTTTCGTAGATATGTTCGTTTGAATCGTATTTTAGATTCCACATGTAAGTGATATCATATGGCATTTGTCTTTCTCTTTCTGACTTCTCTAAGTATGATACTCTCTAGGCTGGACTCAATTTTTATAAATTTATTTATTTTTGGCTACATTGGGTCTTCATTGCTTCGTGTGGGCTTTCTCTAGTTGTGGCGAGCGGGGGCTACTCTTCATTGCGGTGCACGGGCTTCTCATTGCGGTGGCTTCTCTTGTGCGGAGCACGGGCTCTAATCACGCGGGCTCAGTAGTTGTGGCTCTCTAGGCTGGACTCAATATTTTTAATGGATTTTGGCCGGAATTCCAGATATATAATCATATTAACTTTAAATAATGATTATTTTTCCTCCTTCTTTTTAATATTTATACCTCTTTTCATGTGTTTCCCTAATCAAATTGACTAGGACTTTCAGAACTCTGTTAATTAAGAGTTGTGGTAGGGATCTTTGATTTTTCTTTACCTAATGGAATTATTTCTAGAGTTTCATTGTGAAGCACGATGCTTAAAGTTGGTTTGAGACATTTAAAAAAATAATCATTTCAAGGTATCATTTCCATTTTACTAAGACTTAAAATAGTTATGGATACAAAATTTATCAAATGCATTTTCATTATCTTTTAATAATATATCATTTTCTTTTTCTACTTATTAATAAGCTAAATTATATTAATAGATTTTCTAATATTGATCTTTTTATTTTTGTAAAGAATAGCTGGAGGGCTTCCCTGGTGGCGCAGTGGTTGAGAGTCCCCCTGCCGATGCAGGGGACACGGGTTCGTGCCCCGGTGCGGGAGGATCCCACATGCCGCGGAGCGGCTGGGCCCGTGAGCCATGGCCGCTGAGCCTGCGCGTCCGGAGCCTGTGCTCCGCAACGGGAGAGGCCACAACAGTGAGAGGCCCGCGTACCGCAAAAAAAAAAAAAAAAAAAAAAAAAAAAAAAAAATACCCAAAAGAAGTCATGATATATTTTTCTTTTAAACCAATATTTTAGTCTATTTTCTAGAATAAATTATATCAATAGACTTACTAATATTGAACTACCTTAACATTCCTATAGTAAATGCCTCTTGATCGTGGCATATTTCTATCCTAATATACTATTAGGTCCTCTTTGCTAATATTTTTAAAAGAGTATAAACTCAATCTATAAACTCAGTTACACAAGAAACATCACATTTCTCATTCTGCCACAATTTTATTCAGAAGTGTTGCATCAATATGTGTAAGTGAAGTTGGTCTATTCTGCTCCTTTTCTGCACTGTCCTTAAGTTTAGAGC